CCTGCGGTTTCTAGTAGTCTTCTGGGCCAGAAATCAGGGGAATAAACAAAACCACGGCCCATCACATTTGAAATTCTATGTCATACTTTGAGGACTTCAGAACTACAGAGATTTCAATGTACATTCACCCCTCATATCCAGCCCACTAGTTTTTTCCTAAGATTTTTTTAAATTATGCGTTTACATTGGGGTGGGGATATGTACACCAAAGTACAGTGCCTGTAGAGCCAGAAGAGAGAAGCAGATCCCCTGGAGCAGAAGTCACGGACAGTTGTAAACTGCCTTACCTGGGTGCTGGGAATCTCAGCACTCAGCAAGACTGCTGAGCCACGCCTTCAGCCACCGGCCACCAGTGTTTGCTCCACAAATGAGCAACACTGTTTGGGGTGAGAGGATTTTGCACCCTAAACCACTACATCCTGGCAAGAGCAAATACAAATAGATGTTTCTCTACTGAGAAATGAAGAAATAAGCCAAAAGCATTAAGAGTCTATAATCCCAAAATAAAAATTGGATTCATTCAGAAAACTCAAAGAAATCATAAAGAAAATATATTATGGTTAGGAGTAAGTTTCCAAATTAACCAGATAGTAAAAAACAATAAGACTTAAAAAATAATATTTCATATAGGCCAGTATTTATTTATGTAAGTATTTATGTAAGATTAAATTTGTGTGTGTGTGCATGCGTATGTGTGTGCGTGTGTTTGTGTGTGTGTACGTGCGTGTGTTTGTGTGTGCGTGCGTGTGTGTGCATAATGCTGGATCCCATCAACAGAGTATACTTTCCCCTCAGAACAAAAGTAGGGACCTACACAACACCTTAGTGGAGCAGCGCTTCCATTGTATACAGTGCGCCAGGCTGAATCACCAACCGTGCCCCAAAACAATGAAAATTTAAAAGATCCTTGGAAAAATTATAAAAGAAGCAACATATGACCTCCAACTGTGAAATGCAGAAAGCCAACCAGACACAAGGCCCTGCCGTCTGGGGAAGGGAAAACACATCTGGCCATCCCAATACATCTGTGGCACTATTATGAGCTACAGGTCACTAGGGGATACAGTAGGGAGAAAAGAATTCCAAAGAACTCGGTGCCACAGGATCTGGGAAATGAGCTGGAGAACAAGATAAAAAACAAAAAGGGCAGCAAGGTAGGAAGAAGTAGGAAGCACGGTGCCCCGGAACAGGAGAGCAGGCGGCATCATGGGGGAGAGTGGGCCCTGAGGAGAGAAAACAGTGCACGGATGACCACCAGGACAGAATCTGCAGGGGGAGGCACCAAAAGACTGTCGGGAACCTCACAGAATACAAGAGAGAATCAGAGACGCCAACACGATAGAAGAGGGTCCGCTGCTATGGAACAAACGAAATGGCAGCAGATGGAAGGAAAGGGCTCACTGATAGTGAGGAAAAGTTCTTCATTGTTGCTTTTTAAAGACATAAACTAGCCAGGCGGTGGTGGCGCCTTTAATCCCAACACTCAGGAGGCAGAGGCAGGAGGAGCTCTGTGAGTTCAAGGCCAGCCTGGTCTACAAGAGCTAGTTCCAGGACAGCTAGGGCTGTTACACAGAGAAACAAAAATAAAAAAATAAAAAAAAAATAAAAATCTGTCTCAAAAATAAAAAAAAAAGGAAAAAAAAGGCATGAACTAATATGAACTAATATGATGTGGACTTACGGGAGGCAGTATCAGTCTGAATGAAGACTAGTTGCAAAACTAAAATTTTTTGTTCTGATATTTAAATACAAGTGGGTGGAGGTAAGGAATGGTAAGTGTGCCCATGACTACAGACAGTCTATAAAGTTTCTATACAGTCTTTAAAAGTCTCTACGGCATTTAATAATAATAATAATAATAATAATAATGATAATGATAATGATAATAATAATAATAATAATTTAAAAACAGAAGAGGGGCTGGGGGAGGGTTCAGCAGTTCAAATCAATGGCTGCTTTTGCAGAGGACATGATTTGGTTCCCAACACTCACATGGCAGCAACCATCTTTAACTCCAGGTCCAGAGTATCTGGCGCCCTCTTCTGGCCTCTTCAGGCACAGGATACACATGGTGCACATACATACATCCAAACACTCAGAACACAAAACATAAAAACAAGCAGGGGCTGTAGAGATGTCTCATAGTTGAGAGCACTTGCTGCTCTTGCAGAAGACCCAGGTTCATTTGTCAGCTCCCACGTGGCAGCTCACAACCAACTCCAGTTCCAGGTTATCCAATACCATCTTCTGGCCTCCATTTTTTAAGTAAATAAATATTAAAAGGGGCAGGGGATGTGCAGTAGACACTGCTGAGGGAGTGTGATGACAATTATCGGGTATCAACTTGACTACCTCTGCTGTGGCAATATCTGCTGTAGAAATAAAGTTTGTCTGAAGACCAGAGGGTGGAGCTAGTCACTAGCTAACCATAGAGGTCTGGAGGTCTGGACAGACAGACAGGAAGTGAAATAGCTGGGCGGAGAAAGGAAATGATATGGCAAGAGGAAACAGAAACTCAGTCCCTTTTTGGCTGGAAAGTTGAGAGGTAAGATGGCTATGGTTTGGCTCCTTCATCTCTCTGATCTCTCAGCATTTTACCCTATATCTGACTCTAGGCTTTTATTATTAAGATCTGTTAGAACTAGTGCAACAATCTGGAATGAACTACAATCCAGAAATAGAGGGCACACCTGCCAGGTGTTTTACTTGGTTTGAAAGTGGGTGAATCCACATCTAGTCCAGACCTTTGGGACAGGAAAACACACCTCTGGTCCAGAGCTGGAGGTGGGATGGCACATCTTTAATTTGGGCCACACCTTCTTCTGGAAGTCTATATAAGGACATAGAAAAAGGAAGATTTTGCTGCTTGTCCTGGCCTTGCTAACACATCCATCCCTTCACTGGCATTAGAGTCTACTTCTTCAGGGTTCCAGCACATACTGAAGGGCAGCGGACACACCCAGCCTTGTGGGCTGAGCAGCTACTGGATTCCAGGACTTTCCGTTCACAGACAGCCACTGTTGGATAAGCTGGGAGTGCATCCTGGAAGTCATTCCAATAAATCCTAGAGAACCTTGACTAAGGCAGGGAGGAACAACCAGAGTTAGGAAAGACAGGAGCAATGGCTGGAGTTGGTAAAGACTGGGGTCATAACCTGGCACAGGCACATATGCCTGGAATCCAAACACTTAGAAATTAGAAGCAAGAAAAAAATAAGAAAATAGTAGGCCAAAGTCCAACTATTTACATGAAGGGGTTACATGAAGGGAGGAAGAAAGGGGAAGGAGAGGAAAGGACGAAGGGAGGAGGGATAGGAGGGGCAAATAGGAGTTCTGGGTCTTACCATACACTAGGCACTGATGTGACCCAGGAGAAACAGCAGTTCAAGGAACGGGGCATCTCGTCAGTAAGAACATTCTCTTCCGTGCCGCTTTCATATGCATTAATGTCAAATGTATCTCAGAAAGGGACGGTCTTATAAAGATTAACAAGCCACTAGGGCAGGCTTCCTGTAAATTCCATTCCAATTCTTCATCAATTTAAAGTCACTATCCTAGCCAGGCATGGAGTATAAGCCTGTGATCCCAGCACTGGGGAGACTGAGAAAGAGGGATTGTGGGCTAGCCTCGTCCACCTCACAAGATCTTATCTCTTAAAAATGACTTAGTAATAATCTCTCATCTGTCGTTTTGAGTATCAGAAAAAGGTTGCAGTTGACAATCACGTAAAGTCTGTGGTCAACAAACTTCATTCGGCATCATCAACGTCTCCAAAACCAGGAGCTTCAGCAAGTACAGCACAGACTGTACTCGGTGCACAAAAGCACCAGAGATACCTGTTCCCAAAGCACCACCTAGCACACCAGACTTCCCCGACTGCACATCCGTCTTCTGGGGTCTGTAGCATAGCAGATACGAGACTGGCCTTCCAGGGAAAAGTCCAGGTTCAGATCTCAGTTCTCCCACTCAGCATCTACCTACGGGCAAGGGCCTCACTCCAGCACCGGGAGCTCACATTCTCACCTGGGAGAGGGGTGAGGACTAAATGAGCTAAAAGACCAGGGAACCAGAAAGGACTAGGTCAAAGGCAGCTGTGGACACGTGCTCTTCTGGAGAACACACAAAAGTCTTACAGGTTACTAAGCAGTCTGTAAGTGACTTAAATTTTAGCATCTTTTCAAGCAATACACTCTTTCTGTTACAATCTGGGCAAAACCCTCCTTTATATGTCCTTGTCACGGTACTGCCAAATTTGTCAGGTGCCGGAGGGGACATTTTATGTGACTGGTCTTAAGTGAATTCACTCATGGGTCTTTTCCTCTATACGAACTCCACATTCTCAGCTAGATCACAAGATGAAAGCAGCAACAATTAAGTTTGTTCTTAATACTTTCCTTTGGAAAACTTGTATTACACCGGCCTCAAACAGCTTTATGTATAAACTACTACAGCCACACAGGGTGGCATAGACTTGCCACCCACAGCGCTGAGTGTCATGCAGGACACAAACATTAGCACCAGGCCTCATCTCTTCTTGGAAGTGACTTAGTAAGAAAAGTCTTTGACTACAGCAAAAGGGTTTGCCTAAGATGCCCTATTCCACAATGAGAACACACACTGGAATCATGCGTGCGTACACACACACACACACACTCACACACACAAAGAAATCCAGTTTCAGTACTGCTACAAGACTGTCTTCTGACTTCACCACACTCCATTCACACTCTCTTTCACTATTCTCCTCCCGCTGTCAATCAGGAGGGCATCCACAAAGAAATGCTCAATGTTTCTCTTTCAGGACAGGTTAGGAAGAGTCCAGTCTTCGGCCAAGATAAAGCTATGGCCCTACAACTGTACAGTGACCAACAACAGTTTACAGTGAAGGTGACCTGGAAACATAACATTTTCTAGTTCACAGGAATCACTCCTTCAACTTGTTTAAAAAACATAATGTCAAATGAGTTTTAATATGATATCTAATTAATTCCAATAACTTACCTGTCAGCAGCTTCAATGTCGAAGCAAAACCTTCTGTCGATGGAGTCGGTATATCTTTTGGTGCATTCTTTCAAAAAGAACACCTCTCCATCCCCCTGCAAGCAAGCACAATGCTCAAATCTCTGTACACTGGGATGGTCCTGCAGGAGTCAAGGCTAACCCCTTCACTCTGTGCACAGAATGCCCTGGTGCGACCCTGCAGGAGGCAAGGCTAACCCCTTCAGCTCTGCAGCCACTCTGGTCCTTTCCTGAGGTTCTCTAGTTATTCCTGATGGCAGTACTGGTAAGCAAACTTCACAAATGCTAACTGCAGGAAGATTACCAGCAGTGCCCAGGCACTCAGTGATGGTCCACCTGTCGACACGCTCTTTTGTAAAGAGTCAAAATTTGCTTTAATATCACACTATATTACACCCTGTGTCAATACTGGCGTGAGCACTATTAGCCTATAAACCATGCAACTGCATAAGGACTGACCTGAGAGCACACAGGGCTAGGACCACAGTGTGTACCCACTAACCATGGAGCCAGTTGGTCTGAGCAGTACTCCTGCTTCCTAACTGAGCTACCCCGGGTTTCATGACATTTTCCCCCTTTGTCTCTTGCCAACAGCCTCCTGAAGACCTTAGAATGGGGATAGAGACAGAAGCAACATGGTAGCTTAGCAAAGAGCAACACTAAGAAGTCTAAGTCCAGAAACCGAGGCTCTGTAAATATTTTTAAAGACCCAAGGTCACAGCTACATCCTATAACACATCACTTAATCATTTGGAACCTAAAACAGAACATAGTCACTTGGTAGAAATGCCTTAGAAACTGCAAATTCAGGCTAATGCTTCAACCCCTGCCTTCTACAAGCGACAGACAGCCTTGCTCCTGCCTCTTCTTGGCAGCTGTTTTCTACGTCTATTATTACAGAAGGCTCCTTCTTCCAGTCTGCTTTAATGCCCGCTTATCTGTCTGTCTGTCTGTCTGTTTCTGAAAGAAACAAAGTTGTGTGGATAGATGTCGGCTTAGATTAATTGTGAATTCACATAAGTAAAATGTCAACCCAACTACCCACCAGCAGCAAACTGACCTGCTTTCTTAGAGTGCGTGGCCAGTCACGCTCGCGCTAGTGGGCCAGGGCTTGCTCTGGGCACCGCAGGGAGGCCACCTTCCCTGCACAGCCAGACCCTAACATCTTCCTACCAGGTTTGGCTCTGTCAGTCCTCTCTTAGAAATGAGCAGTTAGTTAAACAGGGAATAATCACGTGAGAACTCTACGTGCCTAACTAATGAGAAGGAATTCATTAGAGATCACTTCACCTTCCAGTTTTTGTAGACTGACTATACAATATGTGAACAGGCCAGATCTCCTACAAAAATAAGTCCTACATAATTGAGTCACAAAAGGTTAATGCAGCAATTATCTTTCTCTTCTGAAACAGTGACATAAGAACTCTAGTGTTCTGTTTTAAAATCTAACTGTAAAGGTGCAGGCATGTGGTTTAGAAACAAAACAAAGATTTTAATCCTAAAACCAAATTTCTCAAAGTTAATATCAAATTATTAAAATGGCAGGGCCAACAAGTAGCTCTCATAAAAATACAAAAAGTAACATCAAGTACTTACCAGTTTCCCCCCAGATCTGTGCTCAAATGGGATCATGTTGAATTTCTTGGCTGTTTTCCGATACATGCAATAGTGTTTGACCCAACTGGACCCAAATGGAGCTGGCCCTTCAACAAAGCACAGATCTTTGTGTTTTTCCTCATGAGGAGGCAGACATGCACCATGGGAGCTCATTACTGCACAGTTCCGCCAATCAAAGCACAGAAATGCCGGGGCTGACAGAAGGGGGGACTACAAGAGACAGGAAGCCCCTCAGAACACTGCGAGGCCTGAGTTTAAGACATTTTCAGTAGATAACTGTGAGCTAACATCACATGGTAATGCACTGGGGTGATTCTGGGGCTGACCTGAGCTCAATCCCTAGAATCCCCAGCGGGAAGGGAGAGCCAGCTCCTCCACACAAGCTCCCCTGCAAGGCCTCATCCACATTCATGCAATAATAATCATCCTTGGAAAAGATAAACTTCCAGTGTGCTAGAAAAACCAAGAGCTACTCGGGAATTCCAGGTTAGATGGAGGAAACAGAGCATCCTGGTGCCTCCAGCTTCGACTCAGGGCTCAGGCGGCACTACCACTCCCTGAATCCTCTCTTCCCCAGCCGGCCAATGTGAACGTCAGTGAAGCTGGCCACTTAACCAATGAAAGGAAACTGTGAAGTGCCCTGAGCAAAGCTAAGGGTGAGAAGAAGGGAAACACTCAAAATGTCTGATCAGTTGAAGAATTCAACTCAGAACATTGGATGAGATTTTGTTTCTTTAATTTCCCAGCTAGAAACTCCTCTAAACTGAACCTGACACAGCAACTGTGTAATGACTGGACCATCAGTCCTGACTGGGTGATGGGCGCCACCCCCACACGGGATTCACAGAGCTCTCAGAAGGTTAGATCTCAAGGCAATAGGGTGTGAGAACGTCCAAGTCCATGAACACATGAGGCCAGGGTTGACATCAGGTATCTCCCACTATCACGTCCACCGTCTCTTCTGAAGACAAGGCCTCTCATTAAACCCAGAGCTCGCCATTGCCTGGATTGGCCCGCCAGTGAGCTCCGAGGACCCACCCGTCTATCGTCTCTACCTCTGTAAGGGACCAGGGTTAGACACTCGTGGCAACACCCGGCTTTTTTAGATGGGTGCTGGGATCGTAACTCAGATCCTCGGGCTTATAGTGCAGGAACTTTACAAACTAAGCTGTCTCTCCAGAAAATAAGTTATTTTAAAGCAAAGCATCCTTTACACGTGCAGCAATCTGCTTTTCCACTTTGCTCCACTGTGGTGCAGTCACGGGACCCTTCCCAACCACCAAAATTATGAGCCAAGTAAACCACTTGGCTAAAGTACCAGCCCTCAAGTCCTTTGTTATAAGACACACAAAACAGACAAGACAACATAAAATGACTATAGGTCAAATACTGCTATGTAGCAGTATTTCTATATCCATCTACAGTCTTCTAAATATCTTTTAAGATTTTTATATTTAATCATGTGCATGAGTATATGTGAATGGAGAACCAGTGACATTAGATTTCCCTTTAAGAGTTGTGAGCCACAAGGCATGGGAGCTGGCGCTGCACCGTGGTCCTCAGGAAGAGCTGAGCCATCTCGTTAACCCTTTCCTAAGAACTTCGTAGAAAACAACCTATCTCAGAATAAACTGGAAGAACAAGATGCCCCTGCTGACTTATATGAGTGGTAGGGTCGTGAGGAGGTAGGAGAAGATGTAGAGATGTGGAGGCAGGAGGCAGAGGCAGGAAGGTACCGGCAGAGGAGCAATCACAACACTGGTCGGAACTGCTAAGGACTGAGAAGAGGAAAGAACAGAAATGTGCTGGTGGCAGGGTCGCCCCTGGAGGTGTGCTGGCAGCCTTAGCTCTCTCAGAAACAAACCCCAGGAACACGACATGGCAGCGAGGCAGCATGGCCAAAAGCACCACCCTGAAGCCAAGGCAGAAATGTGTGCAAAGGGGCTGGAGAGACGGCTCCGCAGCTAAGAGCACTTGCTGCTCTTGCAGAGGACCTGGGTTTGGTTCACAACCACCCAAAACTCCAGATCCAGGGGACTCAGCACCCTCTTCTGACCTCTTTAGTCTCCTGTTCATGTGGTTCACACACTCAGCACATCCATCCATATATAAAAAAATAAATAAATAAACATGTTTTTATATTTAAATATACCTTCAAGATCACAGAGGGCAAAAAAAGTATTGGGGTAATTTCCCAATTATCAAGTACTGTAAGGATTCAAATAAACTTCCCAGGTGTCAGTGGGGATTTTGATTCTCAGATACCGGAATCTCTGGCCTCTCCAGTCTTAGTCACAGCAGCGCAGGGCCTGCACACACCCTCCTACCCGCCTTAACTCCTCCCCAGTTACCACCAACAGTACAGAACACAAAGCATGTGCCACAGAAACCGCTAAACGTGCTGGTCAGAAGAGGAAGAGAAAAAGTCTGGAATTGAAGCCAGCCTGGACTATGCAGGGAATTTAAGGCCACTTCAGATACACAGTAAAACACCTCAGTGTCAAGGGAGCTTGCATGTGTACCCCACAGATGCAGCGCCTTGGTTTGGTGTTGATCGTTCTGCTCAGATCTTCTCGCTGTGTGGGCTGCGCTCACGGGAAGCTCTTCTGAAGGCACAGAGCACAGATTGTATGTATCACAGACTTTAACCAGCCACTCAGCCTACTTGGGACATGTCTTACTTTTCTCCTGGACATACAGGTAGCCTTCTGCTGTGAACTGGCTTGCTCGCTTGTGGTCCTTGGGATTCTGCCTGATTTTATTCATAAGTTCTTCCACTTCTGACCTGGTTCCCTCAAATCGATTCCGTGTCTGAAACAGAAAACACACCGATAAATTCCACTTCTACGATTTGTGTGTGTATTTTAATGACTCTGTGTAACCAAAATCAAATCTGCAGCACTCAAAAAATCCTCCTCTTTCCAGTGTGTCTCCTTACCGAGATTTCTATTCAAAGACAACAAAATCGAATGGTGAACTTGCTAATGTAGAAGAGAGGCTAATGAAACAAGCCAGCTACTTCAGTGCTCAACACCAGAGCAAGTCTGTCCACCATAAAACTCCCTGGTCCTGTGACATCTTAAACAGCAAACAAGCCATAAAATATCTATCTTCCTGGGGAAATAAAAGGTGCAGGCAACAGGCAATCTGGCCCATGCAGTTACTGCTACAGCAGCAATGGAGCACTAAAAATCTGAAAATAACAAAAACTCAGTGTCCATTTTTCCAGACTGTGGTAACTACAATAGAAAATGACATTTCTTCCCCAAGGAAGTGAAGGAGGAGGAAGATCTCACCAGCAAATGATGTTCACGCATGCATCCAAAGAGGCTAATCACATTTCAGAGACCCAGGAGACATGGCTGCCAAGACCTGCCGAGTGAACACTCTGAACGCATCGTGTGAGCACGAATCACCACAACCCAGGTTAGAGACACTTGTTCAGCCAGACTCAAAACAACTGTGCTAACACCCAAATCTGCTGGTGTGAAACTGCAAAGGGCCAGACAGAAAATTATTATTGAAATTTCCCTCTCTACTCCCTACTATGAGAATGGTTGTCAAAGACCATAAGGGTGAAAAAAAAGAAAGAAAACATAGTGTAATGGTACATTTCTCCTCTGGAAATGGGGAGGCTGTAAAATGAAAACTATTTCCAGAAATGATGAGCTAATACAGAAAGAAAAAGGCTTTGTATGCGCTTTAGCAAGGCCAGGCTTGGACAGGGCAGTGGCGGTGGTGCACACCTTTAATCCCAGCAGAGACAAGCGGATCTCTGAGTCGGAGCAAGTTCTAGGACAGTCAGAGCTACAGAGAAACTCTGTCTCAAAAACTCAATGTTTCAACCCCAGAGAAGCTAAGTATTGAGGAGAACCCTAAGAGAAACATACATAGATCACCCGGGAAGGTGAAATAGACAAAACCTCCTGAGAAAATTGGGAGCAGAGAGAAGGAGGAGAAGGAGGGGAACAGGGAGGCAGGGAAGAGAACTAGAGGGAACAGGATGGTCGAAAAGGGGGAAGGACAAAGAGGGAGAACAAGGAAAGAGATGCCTTGATTGAAGGAGTCATTATGGGGCTAGCAAAATACGGCACTAGAGAAGTTCCCAGGAATCCACAAGGATGAACCCAGATAAGACCCTAAGCAATAGAGGAGAGGGTGCCCGAACTGGCTCTGCCCTGTAGTCAGACTGAAGACTATCTTAAAAGTCAACATAGAACCTTCATCCAGCAACTGATGGAAGCAGATGCAGAGAACCACAGTGGAGCATTGGATTGAGCTCCCAAAGTCCATGCAAGGAGTGAGAGAAGTGAGAATTCGAGCAAAGAGGTCAAGACCATGATGGGAACACCCACTGAAACAGCTTACCTGAGCTAGTTAGTGTGAGCTCACTGACTCTGGCCTGACAGCAGGGGAACCAGCATAGATAGGGTCAAACTAGGCCTTCTGAACATGACTGACAGTTATATGCCTGGTGCAGACAGTGGGGTCACTGGCAGTGAGACCAGGATTTATCCCTACTGCTGTAACTGGCTTTTTGGAACCCATTCTCTTTGGAGGGATTCCTTGTTCAGCCTGGATATAGTGGGGAGGACTTGGTCCTGCCTCAAAGCAATGTGCTAGACTTTGTTGACTCCCCATGGGAAGTCTTACCCTCTCTGAGAAGTAGATGGGGGAGGAATGGTGGAAGGTGGAGGGAGCAGGAAGAGAGAAGGGAGTGGGAACTGGATTTGACATGTAAAATGAGAAAAGATAGGGTTTTTTTAATAAATTAGAATAAAAAATAAATAAATGCTCCCTTTCTTCTCCCCATCTCCAGCATTTCCTATCTCTGGGTCTATTGTACTGATTTCACACCAGTTCATTTCCCTCACTTCCTCCATACATGTGTATGACAGAAACAGTCTGTGTGCATGCGTGCATCCTCTGGGACTTCACACACAAACTCCAGTTATTTGTGCCGACATCCCAGATGTCATACAGGCGTCCAGCGAGCTACTAGGCATGCGATCCTCCAGCCCCTTATCCTATGACCTCTGCCCAGGAGCCGATCTTTCTCCAAAGGAGCCCTGCTTCGTTCAATGGACGGCAGCATCTAAAATCCACAACCTGGTCCAGGGTGCTCAGTGCTGCCGCTCCTTCTAAGACTTCTGTGCAGGCAGACACAGACAATACACATGCACAGCACATGCAGTCACTCATACACATTACCACACATATACTCCTTCCCTTGTACACACGCACTCACACTCTCTTCTATTACCATACACACACACAAAGAGAAACACTATTCTGTACTGTAAAAATCCGTAATTTTTATACCAATAAAAAAACTTCATACCAATAAGTCGACTCAGAAAGCCTCAGAAACAACCAGAACAAAACTGAGAGATATTTAGAGAGACAGCTGGCATCAGGAATACACTGGAGACTAAGAATGGAGCCAGTTCCCTGATGACTGGGTATCCTTGGGTTCCTACAGACAGAGACAAAAGGTCCCCTTTCCAGAAAGCTACTTGCCCACTTCTGCACAATAAAGACTGAGTGTTGTTATCAGACGTGTATGCTCTTAGTTCGCCAGCATATGTACAGGTCACTGTGTGTCGTTTGCAGGGTAAGCCTGTCTTTGGGCTCTGCCTACCATCATCTCATGACGCGATATGACTCAGTCCCCTGGCATGCTGGGTCCGTGGGACTTATTTCGGTATATACAGCTCACTGTCTTCCTCTTCCCCATAGATACATTATAAAAGTACTTCTCTCCATGAGCAAGAGATGTGAGGATAGTTTGGGCAAATCCTAGGAGACTGATATGTTTCTGTGTCACGGCAGAGCCTGAGATAAATCCAGACGGCTTCATGGGCAGGTGGCCAGCAGTCACATATGGGCTGTGCTACACGGTCTTGTTGTAGGTTCATGTTCTAGTATATGATGGGTTGGGGGGAGCTGCCTAGGGCAGGATTTCAAGCAACTCAAGCTGGTCTCAAACTCAGTATATAGCCGGATCCTCCTGCCTCCATCCCCCCCGCCCCCGGCGCTGGAATGACAGCAAGAGCCCTGCGCTGCACTCTAGATGGTCCACCATCTTGGAAGTCCGCATTGTTTCTCATGTGGACTCCTAGGCTTCCATTTTACATCAGACCCACAAAGCACACACCAGACCTAATGAGGGATTCTCATCTGATCAGCCCTGAAGCTGATGGATGAAGTCTGGAAAGAAGAGGTTAATTCTGCAGACATAGACCCACTTGGGAGCAAGGGTGATTTTATAATCTAATCTTCTCAATTGCCGCTCTTTTCATAAACTGTTTTACAGCCTGCAAGATACTCTGAAAAAAATAAGTTATTTCATTAAAAATTCTAGTAGGCTGGAGAAATGGCTAAGTCAGGGAAGTGCCCGCTGTGAATCTAATTGCACCCACATGAAGGTGGACGCCATGTCTGTAGGCAGCAGCAGGAGGGAGAAGTGGACCTCGGGGGCTCTCTGGCTGACACCTTAGAGCACCAGCGAGCTCCACATCCCATGACAGACCCTGTCTCTGACGCCAGGGCAGAGAGCGACCGGGGAAGACACAGGTGTCGGCCTCACACAGACAGAAAGTGGTTCTGCTACCTACACCAGCAATCCGAGGGGACTAGGACTCACCTGCACACACAAACGTGCATGTCTGCTTCAAGTTCTACTACCTAACTTCTAAAGCAGACAACCACACCACGCAGACACCCACACGTGTGTGCTGTCCGTCACAAGCATCACCCCGGGCCTCACAGACTCTCACTAGCTCTTCGATGAGAACACAACTGATGAGAAAGGTCTTGGCCAGAAAAAGCGTTTGTCACCTAAGAAAAATCTTTTCTCTTTAGCTTTCTGCTGTATGTATGGATGGAGCATACAGGATGTGTGTGTGTGTGGGGGGGGGGTGTCATATGTGTGTGGAGGCTGGCAAACCACAGTGTATGGAACAGTAGTTGGAGAAAGACCTTAGTATTGGCCCCAACTCGCTGGAGACATGATCCCTGGCTGTTTGTGCTGAATTCACAGGCAAGCCGCTCCACAAGCAAAGGTCCTCTACTCTCTACCTCCCCCTGCTGAAAGAGCAGTGGTATTACAGACGCAGGCTACCAAACCTGGCTCTACATGGGCTCTGGGGATTCAAACTCAGGTCCTTCATCTTCTCAGCATAAAAGATTCTTAGAATCTCTTAATCTCATTTTCCAAGATCAGACGGAAAGCGCACATTCCACAAAGGACGGCAACGAAAGCAAATGGTAGCCGAGTACACTAACACATTAGTGAACATGCCTAACATGTAGGGACGCCATTGCACAAGCCAGTCTGGGAAGGAAACACATGACTGACAGTTAACATCAGAGCCAAGCTGGAATGCTAGGACAGCAGTTTCTTACACAAATGATTCAGCGTTGCCATAACAAAGTTTACCATGAGACCTGTCCCCAGAAAGCCCAGGAAGAGCCTCCAAAGGGGAGAATTTCTTTAGCCTCCATAAGCTAAAGAGAAGATTGTTATACCGCGATCTGACCACTGGGTGGCAACAAATCCATACTTTCTCAGTACCAGCCTGGCCCTAAAGCTTGGACAGCAGACAGAGGCCCAAACATCTTTTAAATGCCAAGGGCTTTTGTTTCCTTACATTCTGAATGTTGATCTGTAGTTCCATTTTGTAGTGATTGAAGTCTTTGGAAAGTTCATGACCCTGATGATAGAAAGTGAACATTCCTTGGAAAAAGGACAGCATCTAAGACAAAGGAGAAAGAAGCATTAGTGCACACCAGAACCTAAAGAATAACAGAGAAAATACGAAGCACACGTAACTCCCAACCATCTCCCTGTCTGTCCTTTCACTGATAGAAAGTAGTTTCCGAGAAGTCACAATACTTCAATAATTGCAAACGCGTATTACCGATCCATTGTTCTGTCCTGAAAATGCAGGAGGTTGGTGCTCACAAACATTAGCATCGGTAAACAATCTATGCAATGTTCTCCAAAAACAACCAATTCTAAGTCATCCACTTGTAGCTCCCTAGTCAAGAGAGTCCTGATGGTCACTGATAACTGGAATCTGAGCCCTGCAGCAAAGCCAGCACACAGGAAGGTCGAATCAGTTCAAGCAGCTTCCAGGTGCTGTCGCGGGTGTTTGGGGAGTGCCCAGGGATGAGAGCTGAGGGCTTAGTTTTCTACAACTCCCAGCCTACCCCTTCTCAGAGGGCAGCAGAATTTTAAAATCTTGAACTCATTTTTTTTCAGAGTGCTGAAAGATACACGCACTAAGAAGGAGCTGGTGCAAACGGCCAGTCTGCACCGACACCCGCCAGTCACTTGTTTGGTGACACTGGAAAATCACTGAGTTCTCCCTTCCACGTCTGCCTGCTACACTGGGTGGCATGAGCGCCTGTCTGAGCCACTGTGTGGAGCGAGGGTGAACAGGGCAGCACTCAGAACAATGATGTCAACCAAGAGTTGACGTCATAACCATACTTATGTGCACAATATCTATTTCAGCGTGAAAGGAACACTTTAAGGTTTAATGTCCTCTGATTCAGGTTGATTCTATCATTCAACTGCCTATATTTTTTTAAGTATTTTTGATTATTCCTTTGCTTCTCAACATGAACATAATAGACCCACTATAGTATTTGAAGTATAGTTCAATAAAGTAAGGAAGAATGCAGTCTATATTAAAATTATCAGACAATCTATTGCTAAAACCTATTGTATGGAAGGCCATCTATACTTGATGAAGACGTTTGCAGCCACACCCTCTATATGCATATTAATACGTAAGTAACTGAACTTATTAGAAGGCACCTATATAATAACAAAACCGGTTTTATAGAAACACACAGGTGTTTCTAGGGGCTGGAGACATGGCTCTGTGAATACATTCTGCTCTTCTAGAGGAATCAAGCTAAATTCCCAGCGCCCATATTGAATGACAACCCACCTACTAGCCCACCTCCAGGGAGACCGACACCTCCAGCCTCTACTCTCACCTGCCCTCACAGACACAAACCCACACGGAAAATAAAGCTAAAATAAATTTAAAAACTAGTGTTAGTCGTTCAGAAGACTGCTTCAAAAGCTACAGACTTAGAAATCATGATAAATATTTGAAACAAAAGCACGTTTGAACAAGCGAGCTCACTTTAAAGACACTGAAAATTGGTATCGCATGAGCATTCGCTCTGTCAGTCACATCCACTGCAGCGGTGGAGGACGACAGAATCTGTGCTGGCTGCAGTGCAGGAGACCATGCATAGCAAGTGCCCCTCACAGGGGCTGTGCGGACAAGGCCTCCCCCTCCTCTAGATGCTTGCCTAGACTGTGACTGGCTCTGTGCACCAGCTCCAAGCCTCGCTCTGTCTCTC